TTCACATGAACTTATAGGCCCATTGTCTGCCAACCCTATATATGATCTTGGATACACTCTCCATTTAGACATATCTAATTGTTTAGCTTGTTCACCCATCTATCTGTCCCTATACCCATGTTTGCTTTCACTGACAACTCAGTACTGTATATGCAAAGGGGTTCATATTTGTTGTCTGTACTGCCCATGTAACTCTCTATGTCTTTCTCATCCTCAATGCTGCCATATTGGTCACTCACATTTGGTACATTGCCCTTCTCTTCACCCAAATCAGTATTTATCTCTGTCTATCTAACAGCATTCCCTCCCCTTCCCTCCCACCCCTGGTAACCAACAAAGAAAATGTCCTCCAATATATAAACCTTTCCTTAACTTTTACAATAACAGACTAATACAATATTTGTCCTTTTGTGACTGACTTATTTCGCTCAGCATAATGTCCTCCAAGTTCATCCACGTTATGCGGTGTTTTGCAGATTCTACATTATTCTTTAGCATTGCATAGTATTCCATTGTGTGAATGTACCAAAGTTTGGTTATCCATTCCTCAGTTGTTGGACATCTAGGTTGTTTCCAAGTTTTGGCTATTGTAAATAGTGCTGCGATGAACATCGGCGTGCATATATCTGTTCTTGTTATGGCTTTCACTTCTTTAGGGTATATACCTAGTAATGGGATGGCTGGGTCAAATGGTATTTGTATTTCCAACTTTTTAAGGAATCGCCATACTGCTTTCCACAATGGTTGTACCATTTACAGTCCCACCAGCAGTGTATGAGAGTCCCAATCTCTCCACAACCTCGCCAGCATTTATTTTCTGTCTTGTTGAACTTTGATACTAGTATTGCATTAATTTTGAATTTTAAAATATTTCATTAAAATACTATTTATCTTGATGGTTCATTTTTTTTTTTTTTTTGGTTTGTTTTTGGTACCCCTTTAAATAGTGCATCTGAAGCTGTGTAACACTTGCCTCATCCTCATCCTGGCCCTGAGAAGGAGGTCGTAGGTCAAGGCATTCAGAAACCACCAATGTTAGGGGTCACTATATCAACAATGTTTCTTGGGTATGCCACATATAGCTACTAGCTAAAAACTGTGTGAAGCAAGATGGAAGTGAAGATAGGGGGTGTGGAGGTGTCCCAAAGAAAAACTGTGCTCCCACCATTCTAAGACTGTTGATCAGAAGATGTGTGATCAGTTTATTAATATCTTTTTAGAAGGAAAAAAAAATGACTGGTAAACTTCTTTTAGTTAATGAGTCTTCCTCCAATCCTGATGCCATATTCTATTCTTCATATAGTTCAGCTTCCTGAATTATTTGAAGTTGTCAAGAGTTTTATTTTACTGGATCCACAATCAACACCCATGGAAGCAGCAGTCAAGAAATCAAATGATGTATTGCATTAGGCCAATCTGCTGCTGCAAAAAAAAAACCTCTTTAAAGTGTTAAAGAGCAAAGTTTGAAGGCTAAGATGCACCTGACTCAAACCACGGTATTTTCAATCACCATATGCATGCAAAAGCTAGACAATGAATAAGAAAGCCTGAAGAATTCATGCATTTGAATTATTGTGCTAGTGAAGAATACTGAATATACCATGGACTGCCAGAAGAATGAACAAATCTGTCTTGGAAGAAGTACAGCCAGAATGCTCCTTAGAAGTGAGGATGGTGAGACTTTGTCTCATGTATTTTGGACGTACTATCAAGAGGGATCAGTCCCTAGAGAAGAACATGATGGTTGGTAAAGTAGAATGAAACCAAAACCAGACTCGCTGCCATCCAGTTGATTTGACTCATAGCAACCCCTTCTTGGGTTTCCGAGGTGGTATCTCTATGGGAGTAGATTGCCCAATCTTCCTTCTGAGAAGTGGCTGGTGGGCTCTAACAGCCAGCCTTCTGGTTAACAGTCAAATGCCTTAGGCACTACGTCACCAGAGCTCAGTGAAAAAGAGGAAGACCCTCAATGAGATGGATTGACACAGTGGCTGCAACAATGGGCTCAAGCATGGCAATGATTACGAGGATGGTGCAGGGCCAGGCAGTATTTTCTTCTGTTGTACAATACGAACTGGAACCAACTTGATGACATCTAGCAAGCTTTTTTTTGACTGTTTATGAGAAACATCCAGATTCCAGACATATTAATTTGTGGGACCAAAAAAAAAAAAAAAAAAAAAAGGCAAACTAACACCAGATCCTCTGCCACAAAGTCGATTCTGACTCACAGGGACCCTACACATAGTGCCTAAGGCACTTGACTGCTAACCAGAAGGCTGGCGGTTCAAACCCACTAGCCACTCCTCCCAAGGAAGATTAGGCAATCTACTGTAGTGATACTGTCTCAGAAACCCAAGGAGGGGTCACTATGAGTCGAATCCACTGTACAGCAGTGAGTTTGTTGCTTTGTTTTATGATTCCCAGACAGTAAAGTATGCACTCCAACAAAATAAACTCTGAGAACAAATCAATTTTATTGATGAATAATTGTACTTATTTACATTACTCAATTATCAAAAGTAATGACAATTGCTAAACACTGCCCCTTAAACAGGACAGGCCCCAGGCAAAATATTTAATACACACAACGGCTCCTAACTCTAAATCCTTCCAAATGGATACCTCTTCTGAAGGCATCTTCCCTGATTTCCCTTCGGATCTCTCCATCTTTCCTTTCCATACCAGTTCTTAACAAATGGAGTGATAAAAGTAGCCATACTAAAGTGTAAATGAGTGATGACAGCTTCATGTTTTACATTCTGGAAATTTACCATTTTAACACGGATTAAAATTTTCATGAAAGAGAAGAAATTTAAATGACAATATTTAGGGGTGAGGGTGGGCTCCCTAGGTTTTTTACACTACATCATACAGGCTAAAGGCGTATCCTCTACTTCTAACCAGCATGTGAGCACTTAATGAACTAATAATGCCTTGCTATGTCTCCTGAATTGTTCTAGCGTTCAGCCAGTCAGGAACCAAAGCAAGAAGTGTCACACCAGGAGGGCCCAGACTAGTCTCTCCCACAGTATCTGGGTGTGTGAGTACTGGGTGTGTGTGTGTGTGTGGGGGTGGATTTTCTTCTGCCAGACACTGCTGTAGGGCTGGGAAGATTTTCCAATCTGAACTGCAGAGCAGGGGAGAAAGAGGAAGGATATAAATGCACCCCAAAGCCCCCAGGAACCAGGGAATCACCCAATTGGAGCGGAGTTTACAGAAGTTGATGTAACTTGGGTTGGAAAAGGCAACGGAAAGATGGTTCAAACAAGAGCTGCTTTTTCCGACCTTGTAACAAAGGGATGGCGGTGCACATTGTCCCACAAACTCTCCTTACGGGGGACTCGGACTACCTCTACTTGAGGATACAACACTAAGAATCCTACCTTCTACAGGGGAGTTAAAACTATCTCCTCGTCGCCGTCCAAGGTGACCCCCAAAGGTGCCCGCATCGCGTTCTTTCCCGGGGTAGCCTCACCGCATTACTGATAACGAGAGCAGCTTAATTTTTGTCAGCATTCAGGGCGCTCCAGTGACTTTAGGGGGGTCCACAGCGTCCTTAGAACCTAGAACCTAGAGAAGATAGGGAGGCGACTCCCGACCTAGCACTCACCCCGCTTCCAGTCCAGAGAGCGGCGTCTCGAGGCTGAGGTCGCGCCATCCTCGGGCGCACCTAGGTGGGCCCCACCACCACCTCTACGCATCTGCCCAGGGCACTCAGCAGTGGGCGGTGCTGGATAGGCAAACAGCGGCTCTGCAGTGCTGCGGCAGCAGTACAGCGAGTTTTCGGGCCCCTTCCCCCACCCGTTCTCTTCGTAGTCTCCGGAACCACGCGATTTACTCAGCGCCGAGCGGGAATGCGTCCTCCATACAACGACTTACTGCGACAGTGCGCAACTGAGGAGGCCAGGAGCATGGGAGGTGGGCACGGCTGGGAACTCTCACTCCCAAAGCTGGGGCTCAACCCAGGGCGCTGGCCCGCGTGGAGGGAGTGCTAGTCAGTGCGGTCCCACCGTAAGCGTCGGTTACTGCTGCTGCAGTGTCCGCAGCAAAGACAGGCGCGCGAGCGTTATAGGAGTCTAAACAGACCGTGGGAGACGAGATGCATGAGAAGCCAGCTCCCTGGCTATCCCCGAGGCCTCGGCTGCCAGCAGAGCCACCGGGCACTGTAGCCAGGGCGCCGCTTGGGGTGCAGGGAGAGCAGGAGCGAGGGGCGCTCCGCGGGTTCACTTCCTGCTCCAAGCTGGCCGCTTTACCCGCCCAGCCTCGCGGTGCTCAGAGTCTGGGCGGGCCACCTCGCAGCGTGCGGTCCTGAGCGGCCTCTGGGGTGGCGGCGGGGACGGCACGGCAGCTGGGCCTCCACTCTGCTCCGGCCACTCAACCACCGCCCGCACTCGGGTTCGCGGACACCCACTCACCCAATTGAAAACAGTGCTTGCGTTGGCACCTCCTCTTCCCTCCCCGCCCACGCCGCGGGAGGGACGGGCCCTTCAGGCTGAGGCTGGCGGATTCTGAGGCCCGGGATGGTATTTATATGAAACCGCCCTATTTTCGCCAGGTTTTCCCTCCAAGCTAGGAAAGACTCCTCTGTTTTTCTTAATTATTTTTTAATTGCACCTGCTTTCTAGATTACCTTTGGAAACCTGTGGGAGGGGCCGAGAGGGAGGAAAATGTTGCTTTGCTTGGCAAAGGGAAGGAAACCTTGTCACCCGGCGGGAGCTCTCTGCCATGTGTAAGGCTCCGAGAACCTCACAGTACAGCCTTGGACTTTGCTTTGGCGTCCGATGAGCCCGTAGGAAAAAAAGGGCGCTCAGGCTCGGCGCTTGTCTCCTCCGGGTTGGCAACGGTCGCGAGTCGCTCCACTCTCCCCGAAAGGTGTCTTCAGAAGTGGAAGGGATCTAGTCCGACGACCAAAAGAGGGGAGGGACGTGCCGGTCCAAGGGAAGAGGCAAGGACATTTCCAGAAGTTAGCTGTCTAGAATTAACTTAGGGTTAAAGTTATGGGAAGCGCGGCCATGGACACCAAGAAGAAGAAGGATGTTTCCAGCCCTGATGGGAGCAGCGGCAAGAAAAATTCCAGCCCCAAGAGGCGTTCGCTGCGCGTGCACATTCCGGTGAGTTCCGCCGCCGCCTCCAGCCTCGTGGCCTTCCCGCGACTCTGCCCCGCATGCGCCTGCGACCCTTCTGTCATTCCAGGCTGCTCCGAGAAGGGCGCAGGGCAGGCCTGGAGCCAGACTTCTGCCGCCTGCAGCCCGATCTCGGTGGCCGTCTGGGACGGCGGCGGCCGCGGGGCGTCGCCGGGACCCTGAGGGCTCTGGTGCGGTGGGCGGCGCACCGGTTGTTTTGCTGCGACAGGACGTGGTGGCCTCTGCTCGACGAGGCGGGGCGTGCCGCGTCCAGGCAGGGGGGTGGAGCCGCAGGCGGATGGCGCGCGCTCCGCGCTGCTGAGAGCCTCACCGGGTGGCTGCGCCCTGCAGTGGAGCTGTCCCCTCACTTTCTCTGGCGGTGTCTCCAGGCCTGGGCCGAGGCTTCTCAGCCACAATTCCTTGCTCTCCCTGGGTCTCGTGATATTTAGGGGCTGGAGGAACCCTAACCCGTTAGGCCTGCCGCGACCTTCAACTCTGGCCCATCCGGGGCCCAACCTCGACTTTGGGGGCTTTGGTCCGTCTGCGTCTAGACTTTGTGCAGTCTGGGAGTGCGCAGGGGGTCATGCCCTCTTCCGCACCGGTAGCCCGTAGGTGGTCCCATGCCCTTGTCTCGCTCTGCAGGGGTTAGGGTAGTGGCAGTTGCTCCGCAGCCCTTACCTTTACCGGCCAGAAAACCCCCGACTGGGTCATACCCCGGCCTCTACCGACCAGTTAAATATTTCTACACACACACACACACACACACACACACACACACACACATGCTTGGTTTGGAGAGTAGGGTGGGAGTGTGTCGTGGGTCCCGCAGCTCCCTTCCCTCCCACACCTGGTTATAGATCATCGTGTCCTTTCGCGGTCGGCTGGCGGGGCGAAGCAAGCCAAGGGCCACTTATTCTGGACTCGGAACCCCATTAATACTTCCTTCCTTCTATGTTTATTGGACTCAGCTCTAATTTCTAGACTTTTCCCCAATGTCCTCCTCTTTAAATTCCCCAGTTGAGTTGTGTATAGCGCCTAGACAAGGAAAGGTGAAGTCCCCGGGGCGGGAGCCCAGGCTTAAGATCTGTCGTGATTCAGGGAGCAGCGAACGGTCTCATGGACTGCTGTCAGCCCTTCCAGCGCAGCACGGAGCACGCAGGGAGTGGAGAGGCTGATCCCAGGACTACTGTGAGGCCACAACAGGGATCCGAGAGTGCATTCTATTTGAAAATAGATATTCCTGTTTTATTATAACTATATTTGTAAATTATGAGTTAAAGCATCGCTACTACAAACTTCTCTGTAGTAGTGACTTCCTGAGCAAACCGTTTTAACCACTCAACGTCTCCCATTTGTCAGAAGGAGATAATAATTCCTACTTTACCTACCTTACAGAGATGTGATATTCAGATAAAATAACCTATGTGAAATTGGTTTGGAGGCTTTGGGTCGTGGTTTCACAGGACAACCCGGTCGGTTGGCGTAATAGTATGGTTAGTACTTCTGCCTTCCAATTCATTGTGTAGTGGCTGCGGTCTTAATGGCTTTCCAGCAGCCAGCTAGGATGCAGCTACTGGTCTCCTCTCATCTGAAGCAGAGAAGAGTGAAGAAAATCAAAGCCAGCTGGCAATATTTAGTCCAAGGATATGATGGATCTCCAAACCAGAACTGGATGGTGCCCAGCTACCAATGCCAACCACTCGGGAAAGGATCAAAACTGGAGATCCTGAATAGAGTGGGAGGAAAAATGTGGAACAAAATTCAAAAACACGAAAACGAACAGAATTACTGGTTGGATGGAACCTGGTGGAACCCACAAGACTATGGCCCAGGTTATCCTGTGTGCCTAGAATTGGCCTCACTCCCAAGGATTGGCTCTCAGCCAAACAGTAGAAAGACCTACATGCAGAACACCTATCCTAGGGCAATGCACCCACCTACTCTAGGGAGATACACCCCTTAGAGCAATCAGCCATGGGACACCAGTGGGGCAGCATTCACATAAAGGGAAAGCTGGACAGACAGGAATGCACAGTTAAGAATGGCACAGGGAGGGGGTGGTCACAGGGATGGGAGGGGAGGAGAGTGCATTATGGTCAGGAATGGTAATTGGAGCATGAAATCAAATGTACATGAACTATTGAATGTAAAACAAATTTTGCTGCACTATATATATATATATATATATATATAGCACAATATATGTGCATATATATATATATATATATATATATATATATATATATATATCAGGAGCTCTGGTAGCGTAGTACTTAAGGCACTTGACTGCTAACCAGAAGGCTAGTGGTTCAAACCCACCAGCCACTCCTTGGAAGGAAGGTTGGGCAATCTACTTCCATAAGTGATACTGCCTCCGAAACCCAAGGAGGGGTCGTTATGAGTCAGGTCCGACTTGATGGCAACAATAACAACATATGTATATGAAGCACTATATAGATATATCAAGTATATATATATATATATATATATATATGAACTCTGGTAACATAGTGCCTAAGGCAATTGACTGCTAACCAGAAGGCTAGTGGTTCAAACCCACCAGCCACTCCTCTGAAGGAAGGTTGGGCAATCTACTTCCGTAGTGATACCGCCTTTGAAACCTAAGGAGTCGGGGCCAACTCCATGGCACATAACAACAACAACAAAAATATCTCAAGCTTTGGTACCAAAAAAAAAAGCTTACAAGTAGTCCATCCAAGGCACAATAGTTGGCCTCTATTCACCTGGAGCAATAGAAGAAGGGGAATCAGGAATAGGAAGAGGAAAGGAATGTGTGGCTAACTGCCTTCAGAACAACTGCCTCCTTTACCATGATTTTTTTGGTCTCACGATTCTCTGGTCTTAAAGGTTCTATAGAAGAATCCTGATTCAAAGGGGAAAAATGCAGAACAGAATTTCAATTTTCATGGACTCCAGACTTTCCATGGAGCGCCTGGATGAACCTCTGAAACTGTTGCCTTGGGATAACCTTAAAATCTTAAGCCAAAAGTATCACCTGACAACAGCAGCTCAAAAGATTAAATAGGAAACTTAGGGGGAAGTGAGTTTATGTTAATGAGGTGGAAAAATTTGGACAAAGAGGGTAAGAATGGTTACACTACTTGAAGAAGAATGTAATCAATGTCACTGAACTTACATTAGAAACTGGTATATATTCTGTTATGCATATACACAACAACAACAAAAATAAATTATTAAAAAAAAACCATGAAAGCTCTTTACCAATTCCAAGTGTTATATAAATACATGTCTATTGCATATACACAGTACCACCTAGTGCCAAAATAATAATAGTAATACTTTTTTAAAAATTGCATTGTCCTGTGGAAAGCCTGATTGTAGACTGTAGTGAGCAAGTACATGAGCCAGGCTCCAAATCCTCTCTCTGAGTAGTATGTGGGGCATGCTCCTGTTTGTTTGTGTGTGTGGAGGGGGGAGTATAGGAACAAATCCAGGACCAGTAAAAAGGATTGAGAGATCAGGCTGTGGGAGCTGAAAGGCCATGCTATAGTTGAGGAACTCTAACCATCCTTACTACTGCTAGTGATTACTTTGGCTGCTTTCTATAACATTCTTGGGCTGATCTGATCCTCATGAAAAATAACATTCATTCATTGATTCCACAGGTGTTCACTGAGTGCTGACATTATGCACCATCTGGTTGATGTCACTGAAGTGGTGAGAATGAGAGGGGCTCTGTCCAAGCCTCACATAGCTTAGAGGGGCTGTCATGGCTGGGGGTCTTTCATTTATAACTACTAATTACATGCTATCATTGTGCCAGGCTGTGCATTCAGACAGATGATAAGTAATGGTATGAGATCATAAGTCCAGGCTCTTAGAAGGGAGAAAAGAGAGAGAGGATATTAGGCCCAGAGAGGGTAGGTATGCTAGAGACAAGTGGGAAAAGTAGGAGAGTTATTCCCATCAGGAGACCATTGTGAGCACCACCACAGAGGGAGGGTTTGGAAGGCTGTTATAGGTTCAGTGAAGAGCCCCTTCTCCGTGAAGCAAAGGGTTTGAGAATTAGGGCAATAGGAAATGAATTGAGGCCAGGTCAAGAAAGGCCTCCAAGCAGGGTTGCCAGATTTAGCAAATAAAAATATAAGATGCTCAGTTAAATTTGGGACACATTTACACTTAGAAAATTAGCTATTATTTATGTGAAATCCAAATTTAACTGTGGGTTGTGTGTCCTGGCAACCTGAAGTTGAAGGTCAGGACAGGGAGTGAAGATTTCTTCCCAAGGCAGTAAGAAGCTATAGTGGAGGATATTGATGTTTTACCCCATGTGCCTATGGCCATCCTAAGTTCATCTGCAGCCTCTTATAGAAATGGCCTCTTACTGGTATCTTTTCTTTCTGCCTGAAGGAATTTACCTGGACTATGGCATCTTGCTGAGCCCCATGGAAGTGCTAGGATTATGCTTTCAGAGGAAACTCGCATCCAATGAGAGCTGTAGTTGGTAGATAGGCATTCCAGTTTCCCCACCCATTGGTATGACAATTGGAAGTGTGCTTTGCAGGATATTTCAGTCAGTCCCTAGCAGGACTGAGCCCTAGTTGTTCACAGTGGTAGTCTTCTCTTTAAAGGCCCCTATTGGCTTTGCAATCAAGATGCATTGCTAATTACTGAGGATTAGAATGCAAAGTTAGAAGCAAAGGAAGATCAGCAGTTGGAAAATACCGCCTTGGTGATAGAAACAATGCTAGAGATCACATGATAGAATTTTGCAAGACTAACAGCCTACTCATTGGAAATACCTTTTCAGCAACATAAATGGTAACTATACAGGTGGACCTCACCAGATGGAATACACAGGAATCAAGTAGATTACATCTATGGAAAGAGGCAATGGAGCAACACAATATCATTAGTTAGAACAAGGCCAGGGCCAACTGTGGAATATACCATCAATTGCTCACATGCAAGTTTAAGTTGAAGTTGAAGAATATTTTTAAGATGTC